TGTGCGGAATATCTTGTAAAGGTAACACCATGTTTATATCTATAGGGATACAGAACACATTCTAGAGGTGTACGTAGTGTCTTGTAAAGGTCGCACCATGTTTATATCTATAGGGATACAGAACACAGTGTGGAGGTGTACGGAGTGTCTTGTAAAGGTAACACCATGTTTATATCTATAGGGATACAGAACACATTCTGGAGGTGTACGGAGTGTCTTGTAAAGGTAACACCATGTTTATATCTATAGGGATACAGAACACATTCTGGAGGTGTACGGAATGTCTTGTAAAGGTAACACCATGTTTATATCTATAGGGATACAGAACACATTCTGGAGGTGTACGGAGTGTCTTGTAAAGGTAGCACACTGTTTATATCTATAGGGATACAGAACACATTCTGGAGGTGTACGGAGTGTCTTGTAAAGGTAACACCATGTTTATATCTATAGGAATACAGAACACATTCTGGAGGTGTACGGAGTGTCTTGTAAAGGTAACACCATGTTTATATCTATAGGAATACAGAACACATTTCGGAGGTGTACGGAATGTCTTGTAAAGGTAGCACACTGTTTATATCTATAGGGATACAGAACACATTCTGAGGTGTACGTAGTGTCTTGTAAAGGTAACACCATGTTTATATCTATAGGGATACAGAACACATTCTGGAGGTGTACGGAGTGTCTTGTAAAGGTCGCACCATGTTTATATCTATATGGATACAGAACACATTCTGGAGGTGTACGGAGTGTCTTGTAAAGGTAGCACCATGTTTATATCTATAGGGATACAGAACACATTCTGGAGGTGTACGGAGTGTCTTGTAAAGGTAGCACACTGTTTATATCTATAGGGATACAGAACACATTCTGGAGGTGTACGGAGTGTCTTGTAAAGGTAGCACCATGTTTATATCTATAGGGATACAGAACACATTCTGGAGGTGTACGGAGTGTCTTGTAAAGGTAGCACACTGTTTATATCTATAGGGATACAGAACACATTCTGAGGTGTACGGAGTGTCTTGTAAAGGTAGCACACTGTTTGTATCTATAGGGATACAGAACACATTCTTGAGGTGTACGTAGTGTCTTGTAAAGGTAGCACACTGTTTGTATCTATAGGGATACAGAACACATTCTGGAGGTGTACGTAGTGTCTTGTAAAGGTAGCACACTGTTTATATCTATAGGGATACAGAACACATTCTGGAGGTGTACGGAGTGTCTTGTAAAGGTAGCACCATGTTTATATCTATAGGGATACAGAACACATTCTGGAGGTGTACGGAGTGTCTTGTAAAGGTAACACCATGTTTATATCTATAGGGATACAGAACACATTCTGGAGGTGTACGTAGTGTCTTGTAAAGGTAGCACACTGTTTGTATCTATAGGGATACAGAACACATTCTGGGTGTGTACGTAGTGTCTTGTAAAGGTAGCACACTGTTTGTATCTATAGGGATACAGAACCCGCTCTGGAGGTGTACGTAGTGTCTGTAAAGGTAACACCATGTTTGTATCAATAGTGATACTGCTACTATAGACTATCACGTTATACCATGGTTTACTTATATCCTCTCGTGTACTGCTACTATAGACTATCACGTATTCTCATGGTTTAGTTATATCCTCTCGTGTACTGCTACTATAGACTATCACGTTTTCCCATGGTTTAGATATATCCTCTCGTGTACTGCTAATATAGACTATCACGTTATACCATGGTTTAGTTATATCCCCTCGTGTACTGCTACTATAGACTATCACGTATTCTCATGGTTTAGTTATATCCTCTCGTGTACTGCTACTATAGACTATCACGTTTTCCCATGGTTTAGTTATATCCTCTCGTGTACTGCTACTATAGACTATCACGTTATACCATGGTTTAGATATAGCTCGTGTACTGCTACTATAGTGTCACGTTATGCTACTAGTTATATCCCCTCGTGTACTATAGACTATCACGTACTCTCATGGTTTAGTTATATCCTCTCGTGTACTGCTACTATAGACTATCACGTTTTCCCATGGTTTAGATATATCCTCTCGTGTACTGCTACTATAGACTATCACGTTATACCATGGTTTAGTTATATCCTCTCGTGTACTGCTAATATAGACTATCACGTATTCTCATGGTTTAGTTATATCCTCTCGTGTACTGCTACTATAGACTATCACGTTATACCATGGTTTAGATATATCCTCTCGTGTACTGCTAATATAGACTATCACGTACTACCATGGTTTAGATATATCCCCTCGTGTACTGCTACTATAGACTATGACGTACTCTCATGGTTTAGTTATATCCTCTCGTGTACTGCTACTATAGACTATGACGTACTCTCATGGTTTAGTTATATCCTCTCGTGTACTGCTACTATAGACTATGACGTACTCTCATGGTTTAGTTATATCCCCTCGTCTATACTGCTACTATAGACTATGACGTACTCTCATGGTTTAGTTATATCCTCTCGTGTACTGCTACTATAGACTATGACGTACTCTCATGGTTTAGTTATATCCTCTCGTGTACTGCTACTATAGACTATGACGTACTCTCATGGTTTAGTTATATCCTCTCGTGTACTGCTACTATAGACTATGACGTACTCTCATGGTTTAGTTATATCCTCTCGTGTACTGCTACTATAGACTATGACGTTATCCCATGGTTTAGTTATATCCTCTCGTGTACTGCTACTATAGACTATGACGTACTCTCATGGTTTAGTTATATCCTCTCGTGTACTGCTACTATAGACTATGACGTACTCTCATGGTTTAGTTATATCCTCTCGTGTACTGCTACTATAGACTATCACGTTATACCATGGTTTAGTTATATCCTCTCGTGTACTGCTACTATAGACTATGACGTACTCTCATGGTTTAGTTATATCCTCTCGTGTACTGCTACTATAGACTATCACGTACTCACGTTATACCATGGTTTAGTTATATCTTCTCCCTCGACTATGTACTGCTAGTTATAGACTACTATAGACTATCACGTTATACCATGGTTTAGTTATATCCTCTCGTGTACTGCTACTATAGACTATGACGTACTCTCATGGTTTAGTTATATCCTCTCGTGTACTGCTACTATAGACTATCACGTACTCTCATGGTTTAGTTATATCCTCTCGTGTACTGCTACTATAGACTATCACGTTATACCATGGTTTAGTTATATCCTCTCGTGTACTGCTACTATAGACTATGACGTACTCTCATGGTTTAGTTATATCCTCTCGTGTACTGCTACTATAGACTATAACGTACTGTCATCGTTTAGTTATATCCTCTCGTGTACTGCTACTATAGACTATCACGTTTTCCCATGGTTTAGTTATATCCTCTCGTGTACTGCTACTATAGACTACTCTCACGTTGCTACTATAGACTATGACGTTTTCCCATGGTTTAGTTATATCCTCTCGTGTACTCACGTTATACCATGGTTTAGTTATATCCTCTCGTGCTACTGCTACTATAGACTATCACGTTATACCATGGTTTAGTTATATCCTCTCGTGTACTGCTACTATAGACTATGACGTACTCTCATCGTTTAGTTATATCCTCTCGTGTACTGCTACTATAGACTATGACGTACTCTCATGGTTTAGTTATATCCTCTCGTGTACTGCTACTATAGACTATCACGTTATACCATGGTTTAGTTATATGCCTCGTGTCTCGTGACGTACATGGTTTAGATATATAGACTATAGACTATCACGTTATACCATGGTTTAGTTATATCCTCTCGTGTACTGCTAATATAGACTATCACGTTTTCCCATGGTTTAGTTATATCCTCTCGTGTACTGCTACTATAGACTATAACGTACTCTCATGGTTTAGTTATATACTATAGACTATCGTTATACCATGGCTCTAGTTATGTACTGCTACTATAGACTATCACGTTTTCCCATGGTTTAGTTATATCCTCTCGTGTACTGCTAATATAGACTATGACGTACCGTCATCGTTTAGTTATATCCTCTCGTGTACTGCTACTATAGACTATGACGTACTCTCATGGTTTAGTTATATCCTCTCGTGTACTGCTACTATAGACTATCACGTTATACCATGGTTTAGTTATATCCTCTCGTGTACTGCTAATATAGACTATCACGTTTTCCCATGGTTTAGTTATATCCTCTCGTGTACTGCTACTATAGACTATAACGTACTCTCATGGTTTAGTTATATGCTCTCGTGTACTGCTACTATAGACTATCACGTTATACCATGGTTTAGTTATATCCTCTCGTGTACTGCTAATATAGACTATCACGTTATACCATGGTTTAGTTATATCCTCTCGTGTACTGCTACTATAGACTATGACGTTTTCCCATGGTTTAGTTATATCCTCTCGTGTACTGCTACTATAGACTATGACGTACTCCCATGGTTTAGTTATATCGTCTGGAGATCGCTGATGGCGATTAGGTGCCTGACTCTATGAATGTGGGTTCGAATCCCGGATGGGCCTCAACTCGCCAAAAGTACTAGAATCTGTAAGTGTGATACCAAATATAACACATGTTAGACTATTTTCTAGTCCCTTAGTTTGGCTATAGTTCTCGTCTACTGATACAGCAGACTGTTTTACAATCCCACGGTTCAACTATATCTATAAAGTTTAACTAAGAGCATGGACCTACTCGTCTACCGATACTGCTGTTCAGTTAACAACAAATACTACCGTCTACAGACATATCGATGTATCAATTGCACTCATATACTCATATACTATCTATTTCAGGGAAGATCTCTCTCTGATACCCACTCCGCTTGTTGAAGATCTTGATATAATAGGTTGATATGTAGGTTAGATCCTGGAGAGAGTAAGCTACCCCGCGTTGTCAAGTCCAACTCAATCACTGACAATGTTATCGAGGAGCGTCATAAGGTGAGATGAAATGGATTAAGTAGTTCTTTCACGCTGTCCCCAGCCGTCACTCAGGGCCGAGTTGTATTACAAGGTGTGTGTTTCCCCGAGTTTGTGGGAACACAGACATGACAGGTATGAGGAGTGAAGACAATGCTGGCGGGCGCTCGGTGGAAGACAATCAAACAGGTAGGTAGATCGGGAATCTGCTCATTTCACTGTCAGTTCATTGATGCGAGGAGTTTGCTTGTGTTGGGGTAATTAGGCGAGTGTGTGACGTATGGGCCGCCACACAACAGTTGGACGCTGCACATGTTCCATACTTACTATGTATTACTATCAGGCTGCACTAATCTCTTCTCTTTTCCTCTCTGTGGATTTGGAACATCCCGAATCCGACTCACCTTCTTGATATATTTATCTACACACCATAACTGTGTACATCCAGTAAAGCAGATGTCACGGCATGGGCTATCGCTGATCTGATGCATGTTAAAACAGTATGGTCGACTATGCACGTCAACTGTTCCCATGATGACTCGGACTGTCTGTAGACAGTATATTATCCACCAGTCCCCCCTCTCTCTGTGTGTGTGTGTGTGTGTGTGTGTGAAAACAACAATCGGAAAGTTACTCTTGCTTCAAGAAATGACTTACACATTTGTTCCCACATTCCAGAAAAATCACTTCACCAATTTTGCCCCCCACCCCACACCCCATTTTACTTAGAAAGATGTCTTCACACTACTTTTTCAGATATGTTTTGTTCATATTTACTTTTATTCATTTTGCCCTTATATTTGTATCCGTCCCTGTGAACTTGTCACAGCATTTAGATCAGTTGATGGATCGTATCCCTGTATCTATATTTGTCCATGAATATAGTCGCCATATTTAGATCTGCCCATGGACATAGTCCCCATATTTAGATCTGTCTATGGATTTTGTCCCTGTATTGAGATCCGTCCATGGATTCTGCCCCTCTGTTTAGATCCTTCCATGGATGATATCCCCGTATTTAGACCTATCCATGGATTCTTTCCCTGTAGTTAGATCCTTCCATGGATTCTGTCCTTGTATTTGGATCCTTCCTTGGATTCTGTCCTTGTATTTAGATTGGATCGTATATAGATCTGTCCATGGATTCTGTCCTTGTATTTAGATCCTTCCTTGGATTCTGTCCTTGTATTTAGATCCGTCGACGAATTTTGTCCCCGTATATAGATCTGTCCATGGATTCTTTCCCTGTATTTAGATCCTTCCATGGATTCTGTCCTCGTATATAGATCTTTGTATTTAGATCCGTCGACGAATTTTGTCCCCGTATATAGATCTGTCCATGGATTCTTTCCCTGTATTTAGATCCTTCCATGGATTCTGTCCTTGTATTTAGATCCGTCGACGAATTTTGTCCCCGTATATAGATCTGTCCATGGATTCTTTTCCTGTATTTAGATCCTTCCATGGATTCTGTCCTTGTATTTAGATCCGTCGACGAATTTTGAACCCGTATATAGATCTGTCCATGGATTCTTTCCCTGTATTTAGATCCTTCCTTGAGTTGTGTCCCTGTATTTAGATCTATCCATGGATTCTTCCCTGTATTTAGATCCTTCCATGGATTCTTTCCCTGTATTTAGATCCTTCCATGGATTCTGTCCTTGTATTTAGATCCGTCGACGAATTTTGAACCCGTATATAGATCTGTCCATGGATTCTTTCCCTGTATTTAGATCCTTCCTTGGATTCTGTCCCTGTATTTAGATCCTTCCTTGGATTCTTTCCTGTATTTAGATCCTTCCTTGGATTCTTTCCCTGTATTTAGATCCTTCCATGGATTCTGTCCTTGTATTTAGATCCGTCGACGAATTTTGAGCCCGTATATAGATCTGTCCATGGATTCTTTCCCTGTATTTAGATCCTTCCTTGAGTTGTGTCCCTGTATTTAGATCTGTCCGTGAATTTTGTCCCTGTATTTAGATCTGTCCGTAGATTCTGTGCCTGTATTTTGTCCTTGCACTGTGACCCGTTCCTGTGTTTTAATACATGGATGTAGGTTACTTTTGACATCTCTTCAGACATTTAGATTTATTCTGTCTGTTGTCCATGTGTTCAGATTTATTGTGTGTGTTGTCCATGTATTCAGATTTACGTTTTGCCCCCGTTAGCTGACAGTAAGCGCACCGAGATTACCATTCATTCAACAGATACAGTTTATGGTTAATCTCTCTGTAGGGTAGCTGGAGTAATAGAAATATGAGGAATTGATAGACTCACCACAGACATATTGTGACCACATAAGTGAGGTCCTCCTCACGCCGGCTAAAGTGTACACGGTGGATTAGAGCTGGCACGGTCCACAGGAGAAAGGACTGTTTATGTATATAGACATTCTTTAGTTATTTGCTAAAAACGTCCATAAATTATAGCAAAGACACCTTCATTTTGATGAAAAAAACCTTCAACAAAACACAAATCGCAGTGTTTTGTGAGGTAAGTAATTTCAGGTTTATTGTAACGATTGAAGTACATGTATACGTAGCAAACGCTTTAAATACTAGTATATGCACGTTTACGACTGATTGTGTGCACCGTATGTTATTTTGGGATACACTTTCTCAGATTGTTTGTTCATTGATCGAGCGTATATTACCAATTAAACTCAAGCCGAGGAAGGTTGACACATTTAGCATAGAGCGTACAGCAAATATCATGTATTTGTTAATTCCTTGTACAAACACTAGTGGATACCAGAGCTAAGACAGTGTCGGTGTTAGGATTAACGCTATAGAAACGCCCTGTCAACTTTACTACACCTGTTAACGGACAAGTCTGCAGTGAGAATTATTGTTGAAATGAAATTCATATAGATTCTGTTTCTGTGTCACTGTTAAGTGTTAATGTAAATCTGTCTACCGGCATCAATGTGTCACTGTTTACCAGTATCAGTGAATTAGTCACACATTGTCTACCAGTATCAGTCACACACTTTTTACCAGTATCAGTCACACACTGTCTACCAGTATCAGTCACACACTGTCTACCAGTATCAGTCACACACTGTCTACCAGTATCAGTCACACACTGTCTACTGGTATCACTGCCACACGCTCTCCGACTACTCGTGTTATCGCATCATATTGTCTGCAATATTTATGCTATGCAGTAGTCTCACATTGTGACTTTTCCATACTGTCTGCCTGTATCATTGCTACATATTGTCTGTCTACTATTGTCAAGGCAGGTTTACCATCATTGTTATCTTCCAATAACCTACTGTCAACCAACCACTCCATGTCTACTCACAGTCCATTATCTACCGATGGCTGTGTCACTCAACCACTGAATGTCTACCGACAACTGTAGACCAATACATGCCACCCTCCCTTGACATCATGGTCATCAGTCTGTCTCTTTAGTTCATCTGTCTGTCTAACATCCGTAACTGCTCTTGTACTCCTGTCAATGTCTTTACAGATACTGATGAATCAAGACTTTTCAAGACCATTCTAATCACGTTGGTTCTCCACCAGCACACAAATATCCTGACTTCATCATTGTTGTTCACCTCATCATGTTTCAGACAGTGCAGCCGTCGAGATGACGGAGTCGCGGGTCGAGGAAGAGGCGGCGGGGAAGTTGCGCAGAATGGACCTCAACTACATGCACCGACCACCAAGGATCGTCCCAAACTACGGCAAGAAGACCATGAGCGTGCTGCCCAAGTCCAGCGTGTCCCGTGTCCTGCTGTACGACAACGTCACTCAGCAACAGATGCTGGACGTCAAGCTGTCTCACATCAAGACTGAGCAACAGAAAACAAGCCGTCTGCTCGATCTGCACCGGAAGTCATTTCTCATCAGACGTTTGATGAAGCAGCAGCATGCGCAGGACCACAAGACAACGACACCTGGTGTTCTTGAGTATCTGTTACCGATCCTATTAGCAGGGGAAGATAACCCTGGAAGAGACAGTAGCTCACCCAGACACCCTAAGTTTGTCCACAGCAGTGCTGGAGAATACATGTACCGAGACGAGGATGTGAAGCTCCCTGACATAGCGGTCAGAAGGAGTGGACGAGTGACATTCAAGGGCAACGATGGTGGAGTCACACGCATCATGCACACCATGAGTACAAGTGGGGAACAGAACAGTGGTCAGATGTGGGCTAAGCGAAGGACAGTTCTAGACAAGCGCTTCAAGGGTCTAGAGAGTCTCCTGGTCCGACTGGACGATCCTGGTAATGGTTATATCGAACTGAGCCCCAGCTATCACAGGGATACTAGTCAGGCTGCTCCTGTCAGCATGTCACCTCTCAGAACCACCCTACAGACAGGTAGTGCACACACAGCCGAGGGCTGACGCTCTGCAACAATGTGCCCAAGTGCCAACTCGGTGACATAGGACGTTTAAATCGCCTGTGATTGAATCTTACCTTCAAAGTTTCCCTACATATATGGTATAAACTATATGAAATAACACCCACATTACAATACATTAGCCTACAACGATAGAACGGTTGCGGGGGCAACTGTCCGAGGACCTGACCACTGTGACAGCACCCCGGCCTGTGTGATACCTGTGTGAAGCGCTAATAAAATCCCCCAGTATCGTTGCCGTCACAAAGTAGCAGGAAAATGAAATATGTGGCTGTTGGAAAGGGCGGAACATTCCGATCAGCAGCAAACGCTGTAAACAAACATCCACATTGTGCAAGAGAAACATCGTAAACACTTTGCTGAACCTATTGTGTATCTCCATTCTTGTGTGTTATTGTACTTCTTACTGAGTGAAGTGTCATTAGATGAGTTGAATGTTTCGAGTGTTGTCTATATCAATTCAGGAAATACCTCTACACGCCGCTTGGTGCCGTATATACTGAACCGTTGATATTAATCAATGACATTATGTTTTACTCACATATACTACATGCATGGAAAGTGTGTGGCATAGCCAACTCGTTTGAATATATAGACACCCCTGAAAAGTTCAAAACCGTATCCCTTCAGTATGACGTCATACTGCTGTTTGTGACGCAAAATGTATGACCTTACAGTTGGATATAGAAATGCGCCAAATCTCAAGCCCGCTCATAATTGAAATTCTTGGATTTCTATTGTGATTCCTATTCACTATCTAGAGCCACGCATACTTTGAATATTGTAGTAAACGAAATAGTGCAATGCCAGGCATTAAACAGTTTGTCTCTCGAGTGACACCCTTGATTCACTTCCACAATAATTCAGTCCAATATCTAAACAATCGTCAAAATAACAACACTAAACACCAAGACACGTGTATCTGAAGGTTTACCCGAATCATACAACACACCTGTAGTGCGCCAACACACAGCACACACCTGTAGTGCGGCAACACACAGAACACCCCTGTAGTGCAGCAACACACAGAACACCCCTGTAGTGCGGCAAACACAGAACACACCTGTAGTGCGGCAAACACAGAACACACCTGTAGTGCGGCAACACACAGAACACACCTGTAGTGCGGCAACACACAGAACACACCTGTAGTGCGCCAACACACAGAACACACCTGTAGTGCGGCAACACACAGAACACACCTGTAGTGCGCCAACACACAGAACACACCTGTAGTGCGGCAACACACAGAACACACCTGTAGTGCGGCAACACAGATAACACCTGTAGTGCGCCAACACACAGAACACACCTGTAGTGCGCCAACACACAGAACACACCTGTAGTGCGGCAACACACAGAACACACCTGTAGTGCGCCAACACACAGAACACACCTGTAGTGCGGCAACACACAGAACACACCTGTAGTGCGGCAACACACAGAACACCCCTGTAGTGCGGCAACACACAGAACACATGTAGTGCGGCAACACACAGAACACACAGTGCGGCAACACACAGAACACACCTGTAGTGCGCCAACACACAGAACACACCTGTAGTGCGGCAACACACAGAACACACCTGTAGTGCGGCAACACACAGAACACACCTGTAGTGCGCCAACACACAGAACACACCTGTAGTGCGGCAACACACAGAACACACCTGTAGTGCGGCAACACACAGAACACACCTGTAGTGCACAACACACAGAACACACCTGTAGTGCGGCAACACACAGAACACACCTGTAGTGCGGCACACACAGAACACACCTGTAGTGCGGCAACACACAGAACACACCTGTAGTGCGGCAACACAGAACACACCTGTAGTGCGGCAACACACAGAACACGCCTGTAGTGCGGCAACACACAGAACACACCTGTAGTGCGCCAACACAGAACACACCTGTAGTGCGGCAACACACAGAACACACCTGTAGTGCGGCAACACACAGAACACACCTGTAGTGCGGCAACACACAGAACACACCTGTAGTGCGGCAACACACAGAACACACCTGTAGTGCGGCAACACACAGAACACACCTGTAGTGCGCCAACACACAGAACACACCTGTAGTGCGGCAACACACAGAACACACCTGTAGTGCGGCAACACACAGAACACACCTGTAGTGCGGCAACACACAGAACACACCTGTAGTGCGGCAACACACAGAACACACCTGTAGTGCGGCAACACACAGAACACGCCTGTAGTGCGGCAACACACAGAACACACCTGTAGTGCGGCAACACACAGAACACACCTGTAGTGCGGCAACACACAGAACACACCTGTAGTGCGGCAACACACAGAACACACCTGTAGTGCGGCAACACACAGAACACACCTGTAGTGCGCCAACACACAGAACACACCTGTAGTGCGGCAACACACAGAACACACCTGTAGTGCGGCAACACACAGAACACACCTGTAGCGCGGCAACACACAGAACACACCTGTAGTGCGGCAACACACAGAACACACCTGTAGTGCGGCAACACACAGAACACACCTGTAGTGCGGCAACACACAGAACACACCTGTAGTGCGGCAACACGGGGAACACACCTGTAGTGCGCGGCAACACACAGAACACACCTGTAGTGCGCAAACACAGAACACACCTGTAGTGCGGCAACACACAGAACACACCTGTAGTGCGGCAACACACAGAACACACCTGTAGTGCGCCAACACACAGATAACACCTGTAGTGCGGCAACACACAGAACACACCTGTAGTGCGGCAACACACAGAACACACCTGTAGTGCGGCAACACACAGAACACACCTGTAGTGCGGCAACACACAGGAACACGCCTGTAGTGCGCCAACACACAGAACACGCCTGTAGTGCGGCAACACACAGAACACGCCTGCGGTGCGGCAGCACACAGAACACACCTGTAGTGCGCAACACACAGAACACACCTGTAGTGCGGCAACACAGAACACACCTGTAGTGCGGCAACACACAGAACACACACCTGTAGTGCGCCAACACACAGAACACACCTGTAGTGCGGCAACACACAGAACACATCTGTAGCGCGGCAACACACAGAACACACCTGTAGTGCGGCAACACACAGAACACACCTGTAGTGCGCCAACACACAGAACACGCCTGTAGTGCGCAACACACAGAACACGCCTGTAGTGCGGCAGCACACAGAACACACCTGTAGTGCGGCAACACACAGAACACACCTGTAGTGCGGCAACACAGAGAACACACCTGTAGTGCGGCAACACACAGAACACGCCTGCAGTGCGGCAGCACACAGAACACACCTGTAGTGCGGCACACACACACACAGAACACACCTGTAGTGCGGCAACACACAGAACACGCCTGTAGTGCGGCACACACACGCCTGTAGTGCGGCAACACACAGAACACACCTGTAGTGCGGCAGCACACAGAACACACCTGTAGTGCGGCAACACACAGAACACACCTGTAGTGCGGCAACACACAGAACACACCTGTAGTGCGGCAACACACAGAACACACCTGTAGTGCGGCAACACACAGAACACACCTGTAGTGCGGCAACACACAGAACACACCTGTAGTGCGGCAACACACAGAACACACCTGTAGTGCGCCAACACACAGAACACGCCTGTAGTGCGGCAACACAGATAACACCTGTAGTGCGGCAACACACAGAACACACCTGTAGTGCGGCAACACACAGAACACGCCTGTAGTGCGCCAACACACAGAACACACCTGTAGTGCGGCAACACACAGAACACACCTGTAGTGCGGCAACACAGAACACACCTGTAGTGCGGCAACACACAGAACACACCTGTAGTGCGCCAACACACAGAACACACCTGTAGTGCGGCAACACACAGAACACACCTGTAGTGCGGCAACACACAGAACACACCTGTAGTGCGGCAACACACAGAACACACCTGTAGTGCGGCAACACACAGAACACACCTGTAGTGCGGCAACACACAGAACACACCTGTAGTGCGGCAACACACAGAACACACCTGTAGTGCGTCAACACACAGAACACACCTGTAGTGCGGCAACACACAGAACACGCCTGTAGTGTGTCATCTCACAGAACACACCAGTAGTGCGCTATCTAACTGTAACGCCTTTTGTAAAGTGCACGTGCATTCGTAAACAAAAAACTGTTTGTCGTTAGTTGTCATCTTATCGTAACAACACTTCTATGCATGTCGTGTATATACCAGTCACTTGTTCTGAAACGACAATGAAATCTTATGGTTCAACACCATGTGTCAAAACAGTGGTGCCATAGCCCAACAATGCAGCACGTCATACTCAAACAACAGCCTGTACAACCACGTTCAAACAACTGGCACGCATGAGGCTTGTTATACTTTCAGAGCAGTAACTAAACACTAAATGCCTCCTTTCTTTCTTACAAATACTGCTGATTTACCACTGGCCTTTTAATTTCTCCTCGAAAAGATAATTGAGAAAGAGTTGCGCTTTGGCCACGTTAACGCCTTGCCCATAGTGCACCCCGTCGACGCTGACGGTACCGAGTGTCATGTTGAATGTATCTATCACAGGGACACCCCACGTCGCCAGGAACTCGCTGATTTGTCTGTTGTAGTCACGCACCAACGTTGCATTGCGCTCTGACGCAAAGGCAAGGACTCCAAAAGAGTGAACCGAGGCCCAAACCATTCGAGGCCATTTCAACATGGCTGACTTCATATATTTGAGCACCGGAAGTAGGAAATGTAACTTGACAAAGGGAACGCTGAGGGCATCATGCTGGCCGAATCCCACCAGTACTATGGAGCGTCCGATGCCGGTCAAAGACCTGATGTCAGATAAAAAATTATCAACATACGCAGCCCTTGTGCGCACTCTGAAGCCAATGTTGACACTACCGCTACACACAGCCTTGTCCGTCAGCATATACCGGCGACACGCCTTGTCCGTGAACTGGTTCATGCCGGAACATCTCGTGCGCATGTCTGTGAAGGAAAGATGTCTCGATATTGTGGTATGGATTAATGAAGTATATCGCATTTGCATTGTTTCAGCCATATAGCGACGAAAGCAAGATAGGGATTAAACATTTCGTGAAAAAATGAAAGTTATATGCAGAAACAAATTTGTCAAACATTGAGGTAGTTGTGGATAAATACTACCAAATATAAAAGTGTGCGACATTTGGTAATCGATGATAGTTACACTGTTGGTGATAGGAGCTACGTGTCACAAATAGTACATGGGGAACATTTGTAACATTTGTAAAGATATAACAGATAAATCCATGAAACACATAGCTTGCTGACTGATCATAAATTTGTCAAAACTTTGATTCGTGTTCCCTGATGAGCAGATCCGGGTACATAAAAAATATTTTCCGCTATTTCCGGTACTTTGACAATTAGACTACCAGTGACCCTGTTATGATAGCAAAGTGTTCAAGTGACCACCGCATTGCTGAAGACAGTAGTTAGAAAGGTATAGAATAGTTACCGTGGGGTATGTTGTTTCCTAAAGCGCCGTCACGGGCATTTCCTGTGAGGATGAGCAGCAGGGACACATACAGCTGCCGCATCAGAGAGTCCCCCGCCACCAGCAGTGAGGACCCCGCTAGCAGACGACATGCATCCTCGGTGCTAAACAGGCGGAACCTGCATCGGACGTCATCTGGCTCCCAACTGGCCAACTCGGAATGGACATCCCGGCGGAGATCGTAGCAGGTAGGACATAGACATTCCTCCGGCGACCCTGCTTTACACATTGTATCCTTGCAGCACGGGGTCCGACCACTAGGATCACACATCGCTCGGAAATAACGAAGAACACTATGGGCACGGATGTCGGAAGCATAGGAGACATTGCCACACTGTCCGTCCTTCCGCTGCATCGTTATAGGAAGTTTATATTGTTGTCGCATCGTGGACACAAACGCGTCCAATCTTTGTCTCTCCTTCAGTGAAACATTCCGGGCTACCCAGCGTCCTCTCGTCATCCGCGCTAAGACGTCAGGACACACAGTAAGTGTTGCAGGGTGGCCCCGTCGGGCAGAAGGCGTCGTCCACGTTACGTTGAATCGTATGAGCGATGTGAGCGTGAGGCCCGCTGATACAACAAAGCACACTGCGTAAATCTTGCTCAGAGAAAAGTAGCCACCCATCTTGACATGGTGCGGTAAACTTGGAACATCTGATCTTGATTCATTACAAATGATATCACAATCACTTTCCTGGAATATATAACCTTCCGAAGCGTGATCAGTGTCGTCACAGCTGGCTACAAACTTTAGCTGTTGTTTTCCTAACTTTCATAATCACGCAACTGGTGACACAGAATGTGTTCCTGCAGATATCGCTTGGTTTCCACATCAACCTGGTTACATTCTTCACACCTGTCTACCATCTTCACCGCCCAAGTACAACACGGGAGAGCCGCTGTCTGAAGGCTTCCAACCTGTCGAAGATATAATACATATATGAATCTAACTTTATAACAGTAAATCAATACTATTCTCATCTATTAATGTGTCTCATCATATATGCCATTGGTTATGAAAACACGTTCACAACGTTTGTAGTACAAACACTGAAGAAGGCCACAACTCTCGGACCTGTTGACGTTCAACATTTTCAGCCTTCGGTGATAGATAGAGGGATGTACGCAGAAGACACTACACAGTGTCTGCCCTACCATCTTGGTGAGGCTGTACATAGTAATTACGTGTTTGTTTCTCGCCCTCTTTCATCCTAGGCTATACTTTTGAAAGACCCCAGAAAATTATTCGTGACAATATTTTCCGACTTGGTTGCCATGCTACATTTCCTTGGCTGGGATCAATAAAACCCTTGAAGGCAGAGAGGTCTATATCGGGCGTGTTGTTCTACTGTCGTAGTCTTGTAGTAATTGCCTTCCACTTGATCAGTCGGTGATCAGAGATGTATTGATGGACAGTTCCAGTACTCGGGTATGTGTGTCCGTCACACTGTCAGTATAATGGTAGTATACAAATCCATAGATCCATACATACAAACAGGATGACCGGTGTGTGTCCACAGTCGACATACCAACACGTGTCCGTAGACTACATATGTATCGGTGGCCATAAGCAACGTATCTGCATGTGTCCATTGTCTACATACCAACATGTGTCCGTAGGCTACATGTCTATCGGTGGCCATAAGCAACATACCTGCATGTGTCCACAGTCTACAATCCCACATGTATCCACAGTCTACAATCCCACATGTGTCCACAGTCTACAACCCCACATGTGTCCACCGTCTACAATCCCGCTTGTGTACTTAAGCTACATACCTTTGAGTTGCTGAAACTCTATGATACAATATAAAGCACCACACTTGATAGTCCTATGAAACACCCTCGATAACAACGCCGTAGGTTATAACAGTGCTATGTCACATAATTAAACGACACAATATAACAGTGTTTTGCCATACAATCTCTGGCTTACAACATTATGACCATATGATATATTATACCCTGAAGTTACCACACTACGCATGTTACACTACGTCCTCATCTATACAGCCCATGTTACACTACGTCCTCATCTATACAGCCCATGTTACACTACGTCCTCATCTATACAGCCCATGTTACACGTCTTCCTCATCTATACAGCCCATGTTACACTACGTCCTCATCTATACAGCCCATGTTACACTACGTCCTCATCTATACAGCCCATGTTACACTACGTCCTCATCTATACAGCCCATGTTACACTACGTCCTCATCTATACAGCCCATGTTACACTACGTCCTCATCTATACAGCCCATGTTACACTACGTCCTCATCTATACAGCCCATGTTACACTACGTCCTCATCTATACAGCCCATGTTACACTACGTCCTCATCTATACAGCCCATGTTACACTACGTCCTCATCTATACAGCCCATGTTACACTACGTCCTCATCTATACAGCCCATGTTACACGTCTTCCTCATCTATACAGCCCATGTTACACTACGTCCTCATCTATACAGCTCCATGTTACACTACGTCCTCATCTATACAGCCCATGTTACACTACGTCCTCATCTATACAGCCCATGTTACACTACGTCCTCATCTATACAGCCCATGTTACACTACGTCCTCATCTATACAGCCCATGTTACACTACGTCCTCATCTATACAGCCCATGTTACACTACGTCCTCATCTATACAGCCCATGTTACACTACGTCGTCCCTCATCTAAACAGCCCATGTTACACGTCTTCCTCATCTATACAGCCCATGTTACACTACGTCCTCATCTATACAGCCCATGTTACACTACGTCCTCATCTATACAGCCCATGTTACACTACGTCCTCATCTATACAGCCCATGTTACACTACGTCCTCATCTATACAGCCCATGTTACACTACGTCCTCATCTATATACAGCGTCCCATGTATACACCCACGTTCGTCCTCATCTATACAGCCCATGTTACACTACGTCCTCATCTATACAGCCCATGTTACACTACGTCCTCATCTATACAGCCCATGTTACACTACGTCCTCATCTATACAGCCCATGTTACACGTCTTCCTCGTATGAACAACCTACACGACATAAATACTACACTAACAGACAAGATATACCACTACTTTGTTAGATACCCAACCCACAATATAGTTTACTACTTTGTCAAATATAGAACAGACAAGATATACCACTACTTTGTTAGATACCCAACCCACAATATAGTTTACTACTTTGTCAAATATAGAACAGACAAGATATACCACTACTTTGTTAGATACCCAACCCACAATATAGTTTACTACTTTGTCAAATATAGAACAGACAAGATATACCACTACTTTGTTAGATACCCAACCCACAATATAGTTTACTACTTTGTCAAATATAGAACAGACAAGATATATAACTACTTTGTCAAATATAGAACAGACAAGATATATTACTACTTTGTCACATATAGAACAGACAAGATATACCACTACTTTGTTAGATACCCAACCTACAATATATTTTACTACTTTGTCATATATAGAACAGACAACAAGTCAAATATAGAACAGACAAGATATATTACTACTTTGTCACATATGAATGAATGAATACCACTACTTTGTTGATACCCAACCCACAATATAGTTTACTACTTTGTCATATATAGAACAGACAAGATATATTACTAGTTTGTCATATATAGAAGAGACAAGATATATTACCACTTTATCATATATAGAACAAACAAGATATAACACTCCTGTGTCTAGAACAGACAAGATATGTCTACTTTGTCATATATAGAACAGACAAGATATATTACTACTTTGTCATATATAGAACAGACAAGAATGAATTAATGAATGAATGTGTGTGTGTGTGCGTGTGCGTAGAACAGAAAGATATATTACTAGTTTGTCATATATAGAAGAGACAAGATATATTGCCACTTTATCATATATAGAACAAACAAGATATAACACTCCTGTGTCATATATAGAACAGACAAGATATATTACTACTTTGTCATATATAGAACAGACAAGATATATTACTACTTTGTCATATATAGAACAGACAAGATATAACACTCCTGTGTCATATATAGAACAGACAAGATATATTACTACTTTATCATATATAGAACAAACAAGATATAACACTCCTGTGTCATATATAGAACAAACAAGATATATTACTACTTTGTCAAATATAGAACAGACAAGATATATAACTACTTTGTCAAATATAGAACAGACAAGATATATTACTACTTTGTCACATATAGAGCAGACAAGATATACAACTACTTTGTTAGATATCCAACCTACAATATATTTGACTACTCTGTCATATATAGAACAGACAAGAATGAATAAATGAATGAATGAATGAATGTGTGTGTGTGCGTGTGCGTAGAACAGAAAGATATATTACTAGTTTGTCATATATAGAAGAGACAAGATATATTGCCACTTTATCATATATAGAACAAACAAGATATAACACTCCTGTGTCATATATAGAACAGACAAGATATATTACTACTTTGTCATATATAGAACAGACTAGATATATTACCACATTATCATATATAGAACAAACAAGATATATTACTACTTTATCATATATAGAACAGACAAGATATGACACTCCTGTGTCATATATAGAACAAACAAGATATAACACTCCTGTGTCATATATAGAACAGACAAGATATATTACTACTTTGTCATATATAGAATAAGACAAGATATAACACTCCTGTGTCATATATAGAACAAACAAGATATAACACTCCTGTGTCATATATAGAACAAACAAGATATATTACTACTTTGTCATATATAGAACAGACAAGATATATTACTACTTTGTCATATATAGAACAGACAAGATATAACACTCTTGTGTCATATATAGAACACTCAAGATATATTACTACTTTGTCATGTATAGAACAGACAAGATATATAACTACTTTGTCAAATATAGAACAGACAAGATATATTACTACTTTGTCACATATAGAGCAGACAAGATATACCACTACTTTGTTATATATCCAACCTACAATATATAGAACAGACAAGAACTATCCATACCTACAATGAATATTTGACTACTGAATGTCATACTACTTTATGAACAGACTCAGATATGACATTTAAGAATATTACACTTTAAATATAGAACAGATATGAATGTATGTGTGTGTGTGCGTGTATATAGAAGAGACAAGATATATTACTAGTTTGTCATATATAGAAGAGACAAGATATATTGCCACTTTATCATATATAGAACAAACAAGATATAACACTCCTGTGTCATATATAGAACAGACAAGATATATTACTACTTTGTCATATATAGAACAGACAAGATATATTACCACATTATCATATATAGAACAAACAAGATATATTACTACTTTATCATATATAGAACAGACAAGATATGACACTCCTGTGTCATATATAGAACAAACAAGATATAACACTCCTGTGTCATATATAGAACAGACAAGATATATTACTACTTTGTCATATATAGAATAAGACAAGATATAACACTCCTGTGTCATATATAGAACAAACAAGATATAACACTCCTGTGTCATATATAGAACAAACAAGATATATTACTACTTTATCATACATAGAACAGACAAGATATGACACTCCTGTGTCATATATAGAACAGACAAGATATAACACTCTTGTGTCATATATAGAACACTCAAGATATATTACTACTTTGTCATGTATAGAACAGACAAGATATATTACTACTTTGCCATATATAGAACCCACAAGATATATAACTGCTTTGTCATATATAGAACAGACAAGATATATTACTTCTTTGCCATATATACAACCCACAAGATATATTACTACTTATAGTCATATATAGAACAGACAAGATAAATTACTACTTAGTAATACATGAAGCATACAAGTTTATTGAACCAATAGATGATAAAACAGCTACTAACTTCTTTCAAGTGATGAAGAATTATGTTAAACCTAAATAGTACAACTATTTCTCCTGTAACCCAAATGTGACGACATTACGTGGTATCACCAGGCCTTACCTGTCAGTGCCCGGCCGTCTCTCCAGCCACCCATCACCAACTGCAGCTTTACAGCGCACCAATATGTCTTTCCGGGTGGTCGATAACCTTCGAGGTAATATAAGTACTCGAGTGTCGTTCTTACTTATTATCAATATTCCATATATAGAAACCTGAAACTATGTACAGTGAAGTACTTTTATTATACAGTTCCAGGATACGTACTGTTGAATTTGACGAAAACTTTTAAAGATAGAAACTTGCATCTCGGTAGAACATTTATGCAGAAACACTGAAAAACAAGAACCCCCAAATGCCAGCAACTCCCCGGAGCGGCGCCTATACAGCTCATCTATGGCAGCCTTATAACACATCAGTACACCCTTCTTCCGCTCTGGCACCATCCCCGCTGAAGAAGCGTCATTACATTAAGATGCTGTCTGTGTACCCCAGGGAGTACCAGTTTGATCAGGGCCTGTACTGCCTGTATCCAATAATTCTAATTGGACCTCCACGTCCTGTATCTCATTTATGTGAGCTACAAACTGACGTGACAATACCCGATCTATACTCCATACTTTCTAGATTAAAATTCCATCGATTTCGAAGCGCAGCTGAAATATTTATTGAAACAAGTGTCATCAAAGGGTATGGAGGCAGTTTGCGTCGGTCTTCTATAAGATATTGGCAATATGGTAGAGTGTTTGTACGGCGTCATAAAACCAGACATAAAGACTTGAGTTAATTGTGTTTATGGCATAGGGACAAAACAGAAAATTGTCGTTCGGCAACATTATTTTCTATGGAATACAGTAAGGGACATTCTGAAACGGGAAATTGAAATGTATTCTCGCTCCCTTTCTCTCTCTCGGTTTCATGATTTGTGGCCGGATTTGACGGGATTACGTTATTTCACGAGTTTATCACATTCATTTCGACCTTTGGGATTACGTTGTTTTGCATCATGTCCGAATATCACATTCATTGTCGACCTTTGCCTGTAAAAGGTGCCTTGTATGTGCCTGTAATAAGGTGCCTTGTATAGCCTGTGCCTGTAATTTGTGCCTTGTGCCTGTAATAAGGTTGTATCATGTGCCTGTAATAAAGTGCCTTGTATCATGTGCGCCTTAATCATGCCTGTAATAAGGTGCCTTGTATCATGTGCCTGTAATAAAGTGCCTTGTATCATGTGCCTGTAATAAAGGTGCCTTGTATCATGTGCCTGTAATAAGGTGCCTTGTATCATGTATCATGTGCCTGTAATAAGGTGCCTTGTATCATGTGCCCTGTAATAAGGTGCCTCATGTGCCCTGTGCCTGTAATAAGGTGCCTTGTATCATGTGCCTGTAATAAGGTGCCTTGTATCATGTGCCCTGTAATAAGGTGCCTTGTATCATGTGCCTGTAATAAGGTGCCTTGTATCATGTGCCTGTAATAAGGTGCCTTGTATCATGTGCCTGTAATAAGGTGCCTTGTATCATGTGCCTGTAATAAGGTGCCTTGTATCATGTGCCTGTAATAAGGTGCCTTGTATCATGTGCCTGTAATAAGGTGCCTTGTATCATGTGCCTGTAATAAAGGTGCCTTGTATCTGTAATAAGGTGTGCCTGTAATAAGGTGCCCTTGTATAATGTGCCTGTAAGGTGCCTTGTATCATAAGGTGCCTGTAATAATAATGTGTATTGTTGTCATGTGCCTGTAATAAGGTGCCTTGTATCATGTGCCCGTAATAAGGTGCCTTGTATCATGTGCCCGTAATAAGGTGCCCTTGTATCATCATGTGCCTGTAATAAGGTGCCTTGTATCATGTGCCTGTAATAAGGTGCCTTGTATCATGTGCCTGTAATAAGTGCCTTGTATGCCCGTAATGTATCATGTGCCCGTAATGGTGCCTGTAATAAGGTGCCTTGTATCATGTGCCTGTAATAAGGTGCCTTGTATCATGTGCCTGTAATAAGGTGCCTTGTATCATGTGCCTGTAATAAGGTGCCTTGTATCATGTGCCTGTAATAAGGTGCCTTGTATCATGTGTATCATGTGCCTGTAATAAGGTGCCTTGTATCATGTGCCTGTAATAAGTGCCTTGTGCCTGTAATAAGGTGCCTTGTATCATGTGCCTGTAATAAGGTGCCTTGTATCATGTGCCTGTAATAAGGTGCCTTGTATCATGTGCCTGTAATAAGGTGCCTTGTATCATGTGCCTGTAATAAGGTGCCTTGTATCATGTGCCTGTAATAAGGTGCCTTGTATCATGTGCCTGTAATAAGGTGCCTTGTATCATGTGCCTGTAATAAGGTGCCTTGTATCATGTGCCTGTAATAAGGTGCCTTGTATCATGTGCCTGTAATAAGGTGCCTTGTATCATGTGCCAAATAATTTGTTAAAGACTGAGATAAAAGTTCTTCTTGGTGAGGACAGTCGCATTTGCTTCATTATTGTATGTAGTGTATTGTTTTTGCTTGATCACGGGTGATCAGTACTTACGGAGGAAATGAGGCAATGTCCAGCGATTTGGAGTGAAATTTGAAAGCGTATATCGCTTTTCGACGATAAACAGCCTTATGCTTCTGCTACGAAATGTGTCATTAAAAACATATCCATGCTTTCTGTGTGGTTAAAGTTGTCCCAGTAGTGGTGTCCTAGTCTGTATGTGTGGTTAAAGTTGTCCCAGTAGTGGTGTCCTGATCTGTATGTGTGGTTACAGGTTAAAGTTGTCCCAGTAGTGGTGTCCTAATCTGTATGTGTGGTTACAGGTTAAAGTTGTCCCAGTAGTGGTGTCCTGATCTGTATGTGTGGTTACAGGGTTAAAGTTGTCACAGTAGTGGTGTCCTGATCTGTATGTGTGGTTAAAGTTGTCCCAGTAGTGGTGCCCTGATCTGTATGTGTGGTTACAGGTTAAAGTTGTCCCAGTAGTGGTGTCCTGATCTGTATGTGTGGTTACAGGTTAAAGTTGTCCCAGTAGTGGTGTCCTGATCTGTATGTGTGGTTACAGGTTAAAGTTGTCACAGTAGTGGTGTCCTGATCTGTATGTGTGGTTACAGGTTAAAGTTGTCACAGTAGTGGTGTCCTGATCTGTATGTGTGGTTACATTTTAAAGTTGTCCCAGTAGTGGTGTCCTGATCTGTATGTGTGGTTACAGGTTGAAGTTGTCCCAGTAGTGGTGTCCTGATCTGTATGTGTGTGTCCCAGGTTACAGTCCTGAAGTTGTCCCAGTAGTGGTGTCCTGATCTGTATGTGTGGTTACAGGTTAAAGTTGTCCCAGTAGTGGTGTCCTGATCTGTAATGTGTGTGTCCTGATCTGTAGGTTAAAGTTGTCCCAGTAGTGGTGTCCTGATCTGTATGTGTGGTTACAGGTTAAAGTTGTCCCAGTAGTGGGTGATCTGTATGTGTGGTTACAGGTTAAAGTTGTCCCAGTAGTGGTGTCCTGATCTGTATGTGTGGTTACAGGTTAAAGTTGTCCCAGTAGTGGTGTCCTGATCTGTATGTGTGGTTACAGTGTTAAAGTTGTCCCAGTAGTGGTGTCCTGATCTGTAGTTGTCCCAGTAGTGGTTACAGGTTACAAAGTTGTCCCAGTAGTGGTGTCCTGATCTGTATGTGTGGTTTGAAGTTGTCCCAGTAGTGGTGTCCTGATCTGTATGTGTGGTTACAGGTTAAAGTTGTCCCAGTAGTGGTGTCCTGATCTGTATGTGTGGTTACAGGTTAAAGTTGTCCCAGTAGTGGTGTCCTGATCTGTATGTGTGGTTACAGGTTAAAGTTGTCCCAGTAGTGGTGTCCTGATCTGATCTGTAGTGGTGTCCTGATCTGTATGTGTGGTTACAGGTTAAAGTTGTCCCAGTAGTGGTGTCCTGATCTGTATGTGTGGTTACAGGTTAAAGTTGTCCCAGTAGTGGTGTCCTGATCTGTATGTGTGGTTACAGGTTAAAGTTGTCCCAGTAGTGGTGTCCTGATCTGTGTCCAGGTTAAAGTTGTAGTAGTGGTGTCCTGATCTGTAGTGTGTGTACAGGTTAAAGTTGTCCCAGTAGTGGTGTCCTGATCTGTATGTGTGGTTAAAGTTGTCCCAGTAGTTGTCCCTGTTACAGGTTAAAAGTTGTCCCAGTAGTGGTCCTGATCTGTGTGTGTTACAGGTTAAAGTTGTCCCAGTAGTGGTGTCCTGATCTGTATGTGTGGTTACAGGTTAAAGTTGTCCCAGTAGTGGTGTCCTGATCTGTATGTGTGGTTAAAGTTGTCCCAGTAGTGGTGTCCTGAGTCTGTCCTGATCTGTGGTGGTTACAGGTTAAAGTTGTCCCAGTAGTGGTGTCCTGATCTGTATGTGTGGTTACAGGTTAAAGTTGTCCCAGTAGTGGTGTCCTGATCTGTATGTGTGGTTACAGGTTAAAGTTGTCCCAGTAGTGGTGTCCTGATCTGTATGTGTGGTTACAAAGTTGTCCCAGTAGTGGTGTCCTGATCTGTATGGTGGTGTCCTGTGTCCTGATCTGTATGTGTGGTTACAGGTTAAAGTTGTCCCAGTAGTGGTGTCCTGATCTGTATGTGTGGTTACAGGTTAAAGTTGTCCCAGTAGTGGTGTCCTGATCTGTATGTGTGGTTAAAGTTGTCCCAGTAGTGGTGTCCTGATCTGTATGTGTGGTTACAGGTTAAAGTTGTCCCAGTGTGGTGGTGTCCTGATCTGTATGTGTGGTTACAGGTTAAAGTTGTCCCAGTAGTGGTGTCCTGATCTGTATGTGTGGTTACAGGTTAAAGTTGTCCCAGTAGTGGTGTCCTGATCTGTATGTGTGGTTACAGGTTAAAGTTGTCCCAGTAGTGGTGTCCTGATCTGTATGTGTGGTTACAGGTTAAAGTTGTCCCAGTAGTGGTGTCCTGATCTGTATGTGTGGTTACAGGTTAAAGTTGTCCCAGTAGTGGTGTCCTGATCTGTATGTGTGGTTAAAGTTGTCCCAGTAGTGGTGTCCTGATCTGTATGTGTGGTTACAGGTTAAAGTTGTCACAGTAGTGGTGTCCTGATCTGTATGTGTGGTTACAGGTTAAAGTTGTCCCAGTAGTGGTGTCCTGATCTGTATGTGTGGTTACAGGTTAAAGTTGTCCCAGTAGTGGTGTCCTAATCTGTATGTGTGGTTAAAGTTGTCCCAGTAGTGGTGCCCTGATCTGTATGTGTGGTTACAGGTTAAGGTTGTCACAGTAGTGGTGTCCTGATCTGTATGTGTGGTTACAGGTTAAGGAAATCGAAAATATTGCCATAGTGCAGGCTCACAGGTGAAGAAGTTCACGTTTTTTGGTTTTTTCATATTACAAAAAAATCGTTGTGATAATCTCTCAGAAGATTTAATCGTTTATTGCCCCGCCCCTTTCTTCGTCCCGGCTGACATCGTATACAAGATCAGGTCATCCGAAGGCTTTCACTGGTGAGACCAAACAGCTTTTCTTCTTCGAGGGAAGTCTGGATGTAGTAGGCGCCGACCATGATTCAGCGGACGACAAGTGATGACTTATTGATTTAGTGACAAAATCAGGACAGTTGTATAGCTGGTTTCAAAGACACTTTCGGTCTTGACATAAAAATACGTTTCATTGTCGTCGTCTTTCTTGATGTAAATAGTCAACAAAGAGAATTGATTGATTGTCAAGATGTGCATCGCTCAGTCCAAGGATCTGGTCGATGCAAGTCTCACAACGTTACAATCAGAGTCTCGGGTGCATTCCGTGTTTCCATCTCAGATACATCCATACTTTCCTGAATATAACATACATTATTCCACGTTATGAGAGATTATTGTCAATAAATCAATTACATAACCAGTGTTGGCGAGGCGTACTTCAGCGGCAAGTAACATACACCCCCGGATGTAAACACAGTGACAATTCCATCACTATTGAACGTAAGTGATTGGAACATGCATTCTTTGATCGGTTATTAATTCAGGTGAAAGTTTCAAAATGCGTCATCTAATTGTCCTTTTATAAATATGCATTATTCGCTTTACTGATTTATACCTGGAGTCTTACCTTATGTAAAACGCAATAAAACCATTAGAAACTGCGACAACAGGCATAAGACACAATGCCTTTGAGAAATGTTTTGGGATAACACTTTCTCAAGAACATAGAGATTCCAGCACTTTTTCGGTTTGAATTGAGTCCTGGATTCAAACTCACACTCCCAAAGCAAGGCACTGTTTTTACTACTAAAATTACAACGTAGATATATCAGTATTGGTAACAATTTTCACCTAACGTAGACCAGACAATTCATAGAGACACGCACTTCATTCTCCTTTACTTGGATGTGACACAATGCATATTAATTAACACGCTGATCTTCATATCGCCCAATTCAAACTGAGCAATTCTGCATCTAAATTTGTAGAGTTCTTTTCTTGACCACGACCATATGAACTCGTAACATGTTTACCCCTTGAATGAATTCAGAACAGGGGTACAATGTAGGAACATTTACTTGAAATACCCATAAATGAATTAATTTTATGAATATATAATTTTCGGAAGGAATTGTGTGTATTCGGATCACTAAAGTACAAGTGGGTCAAGACGTACATGTGTGTATTTGGATCAGCAGAGGACAAGTGAGTCAAGACGTACATGTGTATTCAGATCAGCAGAGGACAAGTGGGTCAAGACGTACATGTGTGTATTCGGATCAGCAGAGGACAAGTGAGTCAAGACGTACATGTGTGTATTCGGATCAGCAGAGGACAAGTGAGTCAAGACGTACATGTGTGCATCCAGATCAGCAGAGGACAAGTGAGTCAAGACGTACGTGTGTGTATTCGGATCAGCAGAGGACAAGTGAGTCAAGACGTACATGTGTGTATTCGGATCAGCAGAGGACAAGTGAGTCAAGACGTACGTGTGTGTATCCAGATCAGCAGAGGACAAGTGAGTCAAGACGTACATGTGTTTATCCAGATCAGCAGAGGACAAGTGGGTCAAGACGTACATGTGTTTATCCAGATCAGCAGAGGACAAGTGGGTCAAGACGTACATGTGTTTATCCAGATCAGCAGAGGACAAGTGGGTCAAGACGTACATGTGTTTATCCAGATCAGCAGAGGACAAGTGGGTCAAGACGTACATGTGTGTATCCAGATCAGCAGAGGACAAGTGGGTCAAGACGTACATGTGTTTATCCAGATCAGCAGAGGACAAGTGGGTCAAGACGTACATGTGTTTATCCAGATCAGCAGAGGACAAGTGGGTCAAGACGTACATGTGTTTATCCAGATCAGCAGAGGACAAGTGGGTCAAGACGTACATGTGTTTATCCAGATCAGCAGAGGACAAGTGGGTCAAGACGTACATGTGTTTATCCAGATCAGCAGAGGACAAGTGGGTGGGTCAGCAGAGGACAAGACGTACATGTGTTTATCCAGATCAGCAGAGGACAAGTGGGTCAAGACGTACATGTGTTTATCCAGATCAGCAGAGGACAAGTGGGTCAAGACGTACATGTGTGTATCCAGATCAGCAGAGGACAAGTGGGTCAAGACGTACATGTGTTTATCCAGATCAGCAGAGGACAAGTGGGTCAAGACGTACATGTGTTTATCCAGATCAGCAGAGGACAAGTGGGTCAAGACGTACATGTGTGTATCCAGATCAGCAGAGGACAAGTGATTCAAGACGTACATGTGTGTATCCAGATCAGCAGAGGACAAGTGGGTCAAGACGTACATGTGTGTATCCAGATCAGCAGAGGACAAGTGGGTCAAGACGTACATGTGTTTATCCAGATCAGCAGAGGACAAGTGATTCAAGACGTACATGTGTGTATCCAGATCAGCAGAGGACAAGTGATTCAAGACGTACATGTGTGTATCCAGATCAGCAGAGGACAAGTGATTCAAGATGTACATGTGTGTATCCAGATCAGCAGAGGACAAGTGGGTCAAGACGGACATGTGTGTATCCAGATCAGCAGAGGACACGTGGGTCAAGACGTACGTGTGTGTATCCCCATCCACACAATGTTTCGCTACTTGACCTGTCGCTATATGGATAGTACAATGCTGATGCGACGTTACATTTTAGCTCACTCAGTCTTGCTTGATGTCCCCGTAACATTCATAAGCTGCATTAATGCAACGTATTGTATGCGACGTGTTCACTGCGTTATGGCCACTAAACAGCCCTTACCATATCAAACGCACCTCTTATCATCAACTGTGTCACATTTCATTCAATAAACAAGATACTTATGTACATCAGGGCTTGCGGTTATGTACATGGTGGGAATTAACACTATGTTAAGCATTGTCAAGGGTGTTGAGTCCCAACTCCGTGGGATCACATCAAACAGTAGTGCCACATCAGGACGTGGAGTAGTTGTCCAGTGGGATTGTCTCAGTGTCCAGATGTGGCTGCCCGATGCACGGCAGCTCCCTGTAACGGCTGGCGACTGCAATCACCATGAGACACAGAATTGCTCCCAGGATCAGAGATGCAATGACAGCAGCCCCCAAAGCACCTGCAGAATACACAAATACAGATGGAGTGATACTATTTCTATACACCTGCACAACAAAAACAAACTAAAATGAGCTGACTACAATACAACTGTGAAAAACCCCAAAACGACAGTATAGCGACAACGACAGCACCACCTGTTACTTTTTATGAATATCTCCAGGGAAATGTCTACAGAACAGAGAATAGGACTATCTGCCTTTCTAGGTCGGGCATCACCACACTGGGTTCTCTGTATCATACCCGGTGAGGCCGTCCATTACTATCTTCAATGCTTTCCTTGCCACGTATAAACTCTTATGTCCACCTCTTGGCCATAGTACAGGAAGGGGCATCCTGCCTTACTGCAGTACATATATCTTCATGGGTGAATATTTGGTTTGGTTTGTGTTTTCATGTGTGCCAATCTTCCTTAACCTCTGCTTATTGCTCTGACTTGCCACAGCAAAGCTGACTCCGGTCATAGAGGGGATACTTATATGGCATCAGGTGATATCAACAACATATACTTATATGATATCATGTGATATCAGCAAAATATACTGATATGACATCATGTGATGTCAACAAATATGCTTATATGACATGTGATATGAACAACATATCATTTTATGACATGTGATATCAGCAAAATATACTTATATGACATCATGTGATATCAACAAAATATACTTATATGACATCATGTGATATCAACAAAATATACTTATATGACATCATGTGATATCAACAAATACACTTATATGACATCATGTGATATCAACAATATATACTTATATGACATCATGTGATGTCAACAAATATGCTTATATGACATCATGTGATATGAACAACATATCATTTTATGACATCATGTGATATCAGCAAAATATACTTATATGACATGTGATATCAACGAAATATACTTATATGACATCATGTGATATCAACAAAATATACTTATATGACATCATGTGATATCAACAAAATATACTTACATGACATCATGTGATATCGACAACAAATACTTATATGGCATCATGTGATATCAAGAAAATATACTTATATCGCATCATGTGATATCAACAAAATATACTTATTACCTATGTGTAAGGCTCAGAATTGAAATAGAAAACGAATCTATAAAACACAGAGTCTGCACAAACTATATACTTCCACATTCCCAACAAGGACACAGTTTCTTTTCATACCCTAAACGATGATCTGCTTTCATACATGGCACTGACTACTAATGTGGCAAAACATTCATGCAGTTACCCAGTTGTATTTGTGAGGGATGACTAAGTGATGAGAAACAAACATAAAGACTTGAGTAGTTACTGAAACCATTAAACATCAAGTAACTGACAATGTTACTGTTACAGTTACGTTCCATAATAATCTAAACGATGACATTGATTACATACATACATCATTGCTAAGGTAAGACCTAACATACATACAAAATACCATGTTGTATTTTAAGTGATGACAGTGACGGGGTAACACTGACCACTTGACACTCCTGTGTCTGTGGGTGGAGCTTGTAGGTTCTGGGTGGGGCCTGGTATGGCTCTGGCTGTGACTGGCCGCTGAGTGGTCACGGTCGGACACGGCGTGGTCACCCTCGTTGAGCAGGTGACCGTTGGACAAGAACATGTTGGACACGAGCAGACGACTTTACCTAAAATCAATTTTAATACATCTATCTTTGATTGCCAATACCCAGTGCCTGAATACGATATGTCATGCCCATTCAAGGCATGGTGACGTCACAGTTATGCTCTTATGAGTACCTTCAATTTCACGTTTAAGGTGTTATTTGGACCTGCCAAGTTGCCTCATGGATACAAACAATTTTTGTTCAGATCCAGAACCGATGTGCGGAACGTTTGAAGATATGTTATACTATCACTGTGTCTATGAATCTATAACACATACTGGCTGTGACTGGCCGCTGGGTGGTCGCGGTGGGACACGGCGTTGTCGTCCTCGTTGGGCAGGTGACCGAAGGACAAGAACATGTTGGACACGAGCAGACACCTGAAACCAATTTGAATGTCTAAAATTGAAGTGCTCCGACTGTGTTGGCAACAAAGGGAAACATTTAAAGCTGCGGTCAGTGAAAAGAAACAGAGTTGCAATGTTACAGTGGCGAGGTTGACAATGTTGAAGGCGATGATAATCTATCCAGTGTATAATAAAGACGTGCTATATAAGTTTTTATATTTCCACAAGGAATACAACATGGAAACGACAACGCAAAGAATATCTGGAGAACAGATTGTATTGAAAACATTTGCTACTGAAGCAGTTATGAAAATGTGGGAGAAACTATTTAATAAAAGTAACTGTCAGAAAATATTACAACGAAATGAAGTGATCAGGCGCTCCCATCTACATATAACATCAAATGGCGACATTAATTAATTACACCGCGTCAAAAGATTTGCAGGAACGCTGAGCAAAACACAGCTGACCCAGCCATTGGTCAGCAACCACTTTCTCTAATTACACCCCGGTTACAGCGATCTTGCGACCGAGTTACGACAGAAAATTGGCCTCTGCCCGCCATCACTCGCTAAGACTCGCAATACGGTTGTGCGACCGATGACAGTCGCAAGAGGTCTCAAATGCGGTCGCAATGAGATCGCACAGGTCTCATTGCACTCTCAATTCGGTCTCATTGATCGTAACAGACTCCCCAATCGGTTGCATTAAGCAGTTTTTCAGTCGCTGAGTATTGCTCCTACTAATGCTGATTGAGTTGCAACCCGATCGTACACTCGCAGCGATGGTCACAACGATCGCCGCCACAGGGCTCGTACAACACTCTCAATGCTGTAGCAAGTCGATCTCTAATGGTTGCAAGGGGGTCGCATTTGGGTCGTAGCACACTCGCATATAGACTCGTAAACTTAAAAGACTCTATTGAGACCGGATTGGGATCTGTGAGACCAATGAGAGCGGTCTCATAATCAGGTCACAATAAAACTGGGAAATTGTCTGTGATCAGTCGCAAACGAGTTTTGGTGTAACCGCAAATGGCGATCAAAGGAACGACTCTGCGAGTTCACGACTACGATGGCCGTAACACGGTCGTAGCGGGGTTGCGGTTCGGTGTAACCATACCCTAACTGATGATAAAGACGATATCCTAAGTGAAACAGAAATAAGTGATACCGAGATTCCCCAACAAATTGCGGAGTCTTTAGCAAATCAGTAACTCTCTTTTGATATAGAGCAAAATATACCAGCCCCAGGACAACGCCCAAGTCGAAAAAGGACGAAGTCAGATGACTGACCACATAGCAAGAGTATAAAGCAACGTCTGGATGACATGAGCAGTAAGACAGCGTGGAGAGCAACGACTGGAGAAAGAAGGGAATCTTTCAGACTGAATCGAGTGCAAAGTAACATTTTCGAAAAGGAACGAAGTAAAATGTCTCCATGTTACCAGAATCCGGAATCATATTTGTCAAATCTGCCATATGGTGTCAACACACCAAAGTAAGCTATATGACATCAACAGGTGTTGATAAAACTGTAACTTGCACTGTCAAAGGTGTGGTTAGGTCCCTTCACTGACACTGATCAACGAGGTGATAGGAATCTGTAAACATGATACCAGGGTCATAAAGTCCCATCTCAAATCATTCACCACAATGGAAGACCATTACTATTGCAAAGACCTAAAATAAAAAAACAATATCTGGACTTATGCTGCTGTGTTGCAAAGACGAGGCCACTAGATCTACAACGTGGGGTTTATGCCGCTGTGCTTTCAAAGAAAAGGCCAGTAAACATGTGTCACTTTTCACTTATAGAAGACAATGATTAGTGAAGATAATGTATTTTTGTCCAAAGGAATCTAGTGCTCCGTCTGTCAGACATTTGATACTGGGTAACCCTCTGGGAATTATGGAAGATTAAACAGAAACATCAACACCACCAGCACAACATGGAATTACTATAAGAAAATGAAAGAGATAAACAGAAATCAAAGATTGACAAAATGAATATATACTGGAACTGGAACTCTGTCCTCCAAGCAGTTATATGACTACGCCATGATCTCCAGTGGAGAGGTATATAACATTGGAAAGCTGATACGGAAATACCATCTTCGCAGAGGCATGGTGATACACGATGCTCTACACCTCAGGTCCTATACCAAAAATATTGTCCGGATATGGGAGTTTGAATATGTAAGAGGTAAAATCAAATAATGACAACCGCTAAAGCAGGACATTCATGATTTATTGCTCTGCCAGGATAGGTAACAATAAGTTAGGTTGTCACAATAATAGACTCCACGCTTAGTTCGTCAGGGGAAATGGTCATTCGTGCACGAGATGGTTGCATGAGTGTTCAACAATATGCATGTTAGACTTTCGGCAAGGCTCTGGACTGTCATAATCGTCACAAATGTCTCCATGCGAGAGCAGGAATGAGGCAAGCGATCCTTCCGGTAGAGATACAATATACACAATGAAACACCATCTATCATAGTTACATATGGAAACAATATTTACAAAATACTCACCGTCACGCTCACCGGAAAGTGCTTCACATTTATTCAGAGTGACATTTGATGAAGTTGTCAAATTAGAAATGATGCCTAAATCTGGGTCTTGGTGTATATGAACTAACAGCAATAACAGTAAGGCAGCTATCAACACATCTTAAAGTACTTCTGTTAAATATAATAAACCTGTGCAACAGAACACCCAATTTTGATTATCGATTTAATTTGGATTAAAGGGCTAAACAACTGTGAAAGTCCTGTGAAAGAAATATTTAGTAACATGACTTCTCTCCAGTTACCACCATCATGTACCATGAAACGTACCCGGGGTATTTGGTGGTGTCGTAGATGTTTTGACGCTGGGTGGAGCCTCGGTCCTGTGTGTGGCGGCAGACGCAGATCGGAGGCTTGGCGTGAGGAGTGGTTTTGGAGTCTTCTCCTGGCTTGTGGGATACGGGACAGGTGGGTTTTTAGGTAACGTGGGGATGAGAAACTGCGTGGTCGGGGTGGACTGTGTTGTCACTGTGGTGAAATCCCCGGGGAAGGAGATTTGCTGGATTTTCTGAGTCATAAGTCTGATTGGCTGGAACAGCATACAAACTCTCGTACAGTTACATAGGATGAGAACACTGAAAAACATCATAATCAATGCTTCAGAATTCAACTTCAGGTTATTTGCAATTGATGATTAATCTACTCATCTTTAGAAATCATTCCGAGATATGTTTTAGTTTAGTAGACAGTATGAAGTAGATTCTTGATACGTCAACTTGGAAATAAGGGATGAATTCCACATCCTGCGAGGTTCCCTCATTCGTGGCCGTGGCCATATACAGGAATTATCATTCTGCATTATTTATCAACCTATACGCATTGTACCTGGCCTTCTACATTGGTGATGAGAACTAGTCTCCGGTTCTCTATCGTCCCTTTGAAGAAGCTGTAGGCTACATCCAGGGGATGCTGCTGCACGGGGTTCTCTACCTGGGTGTTGGTCACTGGCGTCCTGTCCAGCAGCAAGCCGGACACGTACAGGTAGTTCCCGCCGTCGTACTCCAGCTAGACAGGATAGAAGTATCCACACCATACACCAGTAGGACAGGGTAAAACTAGCCACACCTTACACCAACTAGACAGGGTAGAAGTATTCACATCATACACAAGTAGGACAGGGTAAAACTAGCCACACCATACACCAACTAGACAGGATAGAAGTATCCACACCATACACCAACTAGACAGGGTAAAACTAGCCACACCATACACCAACTAGACAGGGTAGAAGTATCCACACCATACACCAGTAGGACAGGGTAAAACTAGCCACACCATACACCAACTAGACAGGGTAGAAGTATCCACACCATACACCAGTAGGACAGGGTAAAACTAGACACACCTTACACCAACTAGACAGGATAAAAGTATCCACATCATACACCAGTAGGACAGGGTAAAACTAGACACACCTTACACCAACTAGACAGGGTTGAAGTATCCACACCATACACCAGTAGGACAGGGGACACACCTTACACCAAAGACAGGGTAGAAGACACACCATACACCAGTAGGACAGGGTAAAACTAGACACAGCTTACACCAACTAGACAGGGTAGAAGTAGCCACACCATACACAAGTAGGACAGGGTAAAACTAGCCACACTTTACACCAACTAGACAGGGTTGAAGTATCCACACCATACGTCAGTAGGACAGGGTAAAACTAGCCACACCTTACACCAACTAGACAGGGTAGAAGTAGTCATGCCATACACCAGTAGGACAGGGTAAAACTAGCCACACCTTACACCAACTAGACAGGGTAGAAGTATCCACACCATACACCAGTAGGAAAGGGTAAAACTAGACACAACTTACATCAACTAGACAGGGTAGAACTATCCACACCATACACCAGTAGGACAGGGTAAAACTAGTCACACCTTACACCAACAAGACAGGGTAGAAGTATCCACACCATACACCAGTAGGACAGGGTAAAACTAGTCATACCTTACACCAACAAGACAGGGTAGAAGTATCCACACCATACACCAGTAGGACAGGGTAAAACAAGTCACACCTTATAATAACTAGACAGAGTAGAAGTATCTACACCATACACCAGTAGGACAGGGTAAAACTAGTCACACCTTACACCAACTAGACAGAGTAGAAGTATCTACACCATACACCAGTAGGACAGGGTAAAACAAGTCACACCTTACACAAACTAGACAGGGTTGAAGTATCCACACCATACACCAGTAGGACAGCGTAAAACTAGCCACTACTTACACCAACTAGACAGGGTAGAAGTATCCACACCATACACCAGTAGGACAGGGTAAAACTAGCCACCTTACACCAACAAGACAGAGTAGAAGTAGCCACACCATACACCAGTAGGACAGGGTAAAACTAGTCACACCTTACACCAACTAGACAGGGTAGAAGTATACACACCATACACCAGTAGGGCAGAGTAAAACTAGCCACACCTTACACCAACTAGACAGGGTAGAAGTATCCACACCATACACCAGTAGGACAGGGTAAAACTAGCCACACCTTACACCAACTAGACAGGGTAGAAGTATCCACACCATACACCAGTAGGACAGGGTAAAACTAGTCACACCTTACACCAACTAGACAGGGTAGAAGTATCCACACCATACACCAGTAGGACAGGGTAAAACTAGCCACACCTTACACCAACTAGACAGGGTAGAAGTATCCACACCATACACCAGTAGGACAGGGTAAAACTAGCCACACCTTACACCAACTAGACAGGGTAGAAGTATCTACACCATACACCAGTAGGACAGGGTAGAAGTATCCACACCATACACCAGTAGGACAGGGTAAAACTAGCCACACCTTACACCAACTAGACAGGGTAGAAGTATCCACACCATACACCAGTAGGACAGGGTAAAACTAGCCACACCTTACACCAACTAGACAGGGTAGAAGTATCCACACCATACACCAGTAGGACAGGGTAAAACTAGCCACACCTTACACCAACTAGACAGGGTAGAAGTATCCACACCATACACCAGTAGGACAGGGTAAAACTAGCCACACCTTACACCAGTAGGACAGGGTAAAACTAGCCACACCATACACCAACTAGACAGAGTAGAAGTATCCACACCATACACCAGTAGGACAGAGTAAAACTAGCCACTACTTACACCAACTAGACAGGGTAGAAGTATCCACACCATACACCAGTAGGACAGGGTAAAACTAGCCACCTTACACCAACAAGACAGAGTAGAAGTAGCCACACCACTAGACACCACCATACACCAGTAGGACAGGGTAAAACTAGTCACACCTTACACCAACTAGACAGGGTAGAAGTATCCACACCATACACCAGTAGGACAGGGTAAAACTAGCCACACCTTACACCAACTAGACAGGGTAGAAGTATCCACACCATACACCAGTAGGACAGGGTAAAACTAGCCACACCTTACACCAACTAGACAGGGTAGAAGTATCCACACCATACACCAGTAGGACAGGGTAAAACAAGTCACACCTTACACCAACTAGACAGAGTAGAAGTATTTACACCATACACCAGTAGGACAGGGTAAAACTAGTCACACCTTACACGAACTAGACAGAGTAGAAGTATCTACACCATACACCAGTAGGACAGGGTAAAACAAGTCACACCTTACACAAACTAGACAGGGTAGAAGTATCCACACCATACACCAGTAGGACAGAGTAAAACTAGCCACTACTTACACCAACTAGACAGGGTAGAAGTATCCACACCATACACCAGTAGGACAGGGTAAAACTAGCCACACCTTACACCAACTAGACAGGGTAGAAGTATCCACACCATACACCAGTAGGACAGGGTAAAACTAGCCACACCATACACCAACTAGACAGGGTAGAAGTATCCACACCATACACCAGTAGGACAGGGTAAAACTAGCCACACCTTACACCAACTAGACAGAGTAGAAGTATCCACACCATACACCAGTAGGACAGAGTAAAACTAGCCACTACTTACACCAACTAGACAGGGTAGAAGTATCCACACCATACACCAGTAGGACAGGGTAAAACTAGCCACACCATACACCAACAAGACAGAGTAGAAGTATCCACACCATACACCAGTAGGACAGGGTAAAACAAGTCACACCTTACACCAACTAGACAGGGTAGAAGTATCCACACCATACACCAGTAGGACAGAGTAAAACTAGCCACTACTTACACCAACTAGACAGGGTAGAAGTATCCACACCATACACCAGTAGGACAGGGTAAAACTAGCCACACCTTACACCAACAAGACAGAGTAGAAGTATCCACACCATACACCAGTAGGACAGGGTAAAACTAGTCACACCTTACACCAACTAGACAGAGTAGAAGTATCCACACCATACACCAGTAGGACAGGGTAAAACAAGTCACACCTTACACCAACTAGACAGGGTAGAAGTATCCACACCATACACCAGTAGGACAGAGTAAAACTAGCCACTACTTACACCAACTAGACAGGGTAGAAGTATCCACACCATACACCAGTAGGACAGGGTAAAACTAGCCACACCTTACACCAACTAGACAGGGTAGAAGTATCCACACCATACACCAGTAGGACAGGGTAAATCTAGCCACACCTTACACCAACTAGACAGGGTAGAAGTATCCACACCATACACCAGTAGGACAGGGTAAAACTAGCCACACCATACACCAGTAGGACAGAGTAAAACTAGCCACACCTTACACCAACTAGACAGGGTAGAAGTATCCACACCATACACCAGTAGGACAGGGTAAAACTAGCCACACCTTACACCAGTAGGACAGGGTAAAACTAGCCACACCTTACACCAACTAGACAGGGTAGAAGTATCCACACCATACACCAGTAGGACAGGGTAAAACTAGCCACACTTTACACCAACTAGACAGGGTAGAAGTATCAACACCATACACCAGTAGGACAGGGTAAAACTACCCACACCTTACACCAACTAGACAGGGTAGAAGTATCCACACCATACACCAGTAGGACAGGGTAAAACTAGTCACACCTTACACCAACTAGACAGGGTAGAAGTATCCACACCATACACCAGTAGGACAGGGTAAAACTAGCCACACCTTACACCAACTAGACAGGGTAGAAGTATCAACACCATACACCAGTAGGACAGGGTAAAACTACCACACCTTACACCAACTAGACAGGGTAGAAGACAGGGACAGGGTAAAACTAGTCACACCTTACACCAACTAGGACAGGGTAGAAGCATCACACCATACACCAGTAGGACAGGGTAAAACTAGCCACACCTTACACCAACTAGACAGGGTAGAAGTATCCACACCATACACCAGTAGGACAGGGTAAAACTAGCCACACCTTACACCAACTAGACAGGGTAGAAGTATCCACACCATACACCAGTAGGACAGGGTAAAACTAGCCACACCTTACACCAACTAGACAGGGTAGAAGTATCCACACCATACACCAGTAGGACAGGGTAAAACTAGCCACACCTTACACCAACTAGACAGCAGGTACACCAGTAGGACAGGGTAAAACTAGCCACACCATACACCAGTAGGACAGGGTAAAACTAGCCACACCTTACACCAACTAGACAGGGTAGAAGTATCCACACCATACACCAGTAGGACAGGGTAAAACTAGTCACACCTTACACCAACTAGACAGGGTAGAAGTATCCACACCATACACCAGTAGGACAGGGTAAAACTAGTCACACCTTACACCAACTAGACAGGGTAGAAGTATCTACACCATACACCAGTAGGACAGGGTAAAACAAGTCACACCTTACACCAACTAGACAGGGTAGAAGTATCCACACCATACACCAGTAGGACAGAGTAAAACTAGCCACTACTTACACCAACTAGACAGGGTAGAAGTATCCACACCATACACCAGTAGGACAGGGTAAAACTAGCCACACCTTACACCAACTAGACAGAGTAGAAGTATCCACACCATACAC